AGGAATGTGTGAGGGTGGGACTGCAGAATCCTCCAGGGAAGGGGCTTCCCCCACTCTCACTCCACACCCCAAACCTCCCAACCCCTCTTTCCCGAGAGCCCCCTTTTCCAGGAATTCCCTCCATACACACAGGGCATGCACCCCGAGAATTCCTCACTTTCATGAGGAGGGCCCCAACAGTGGACTTCCCCACGCAAAACCGATTGTCCACTGACCGGTAGCTGTCTGGGGTGGCGAGCTTCCATATGGCAATTGTGACCCGCTTCTGCAGAAGAATGGAGGGCTGAAGTTTGGTGTCATGTCTCTGGAGGGTGGGGGTGAGCCAGGCACACAGCTCCAAAAAGGTGGCCTTCTGCATGCGGAAGTTTTGAAACCAATGCTGGCTGTCCCACCACTCCATGACCAGACGGTCTCACCAGTCCGAACTGGTTTTGAACCTCCAGAAATGCCTTCTGTGGGGTGTGGTTGCCAAAGTGTAGCTCCTGCACCCAGGGAGAGGGTCCCAAGAATGAGCTCGGGATCAACTGTGGTCAGGACCAGAAAGACAATTGGCACGAAATGCTGCAAAAACTGCAGCATGGCCACGTGGGGCTATCGCATGCCCAGGGGCAGCTCCGGCTCCATGGCACCAAGAGAAAAGCTGTGATGTCCAAAAATGCAGGGCAACCAGAGGAGACACTGCAAGAGCTTTGCTGTCCTTTGAAGAGGTAGGCAAGCATGCAGCAGAAGCAGAGAAACGGCTGTCCGGGGAGTCCTTATAAGCACGTGCCTCTGCAAGGCTCCAGCACCAGCAACTCGGAAGCAACTGGTGACCTAAAGTCCTGCCTGAAGTGTTTTGGGTGGCCTTTTATGCGAGATAGCATCCAATCAGTCTGGATGCTCTCTCAAAAATACAGATGTCTTTTTCTATGTGCTTTTGTGTGTGGATGCTCTCTTTCAGAAGAAATTTTTTCAGAAGAGATCTTCCAGAAGAAAGCTTCTTCTGAAAGAAGCCTGCAGTCTAGACATAGCCTAAGAGGGAGAGAGTTTGAGTATTAAAGGAGGCTCAGGGCTGGTGCAGGAAGGGAATGCAGGGAGCAGGCTCTGAGAATGAATTTGGATGAGGGAGGGGTTTAGGATTGCCAGATCCAGGTGGTGTTCATCTTGGGTGGCTTCCTTGAAGTGGTGATGTGTTCCTTCTGGTCCTAGGAAGAGGCACAGCTATGTGGGTCTGCATGCGTCCTCCACTAGTGGGGCACACCCCACAGCTCCCATTGGCTATGGTTTCTGACCAATGGGAGCTGCAAAACCAATACTCAGGGTGGAGGGCAGTATACGGAGTCCCCATGGCCGTTCCTCTGCCTAGGAGCAGCAGGGACATTTTTCTACTTCTGAGAAGCCACATGGAACCAGGTGAGGAGCCTACTAGTCCCATGTCAACTCGACTAATAAATTGGACTTTCAATGAAGTCCAATGCCACATAACATAGCTTTTACAAATTTTTAAGACATTGCGATTTTAAAAAATATACTTACAATGTTATTACATTCTGGCAAGGAAATGTAAAAATATTTAGTAAAGTCAATATTATCATTAATTTAATGTCTTTTCCTTAAAAAGGTACACTCACCTTGAAATCTACTCAATTTCAAAATGAGTTAAAAGTGATATCCAGTACCACACCTCCACACAGGTCTTCCTGACAAGTGTTGTAGTTTTACAATAATGATTTATTATTTTAAAAATATTTTCCTCCCCCTTGAAAAAGCCATACAAACAGAGTAAAATGGACCAACAAACTGACTACACCCTTGGAACGCGACTGATGCTGAACCAGAGAATTTGTCAGACCACTTTCACTACCAGACATTACCAACACTTCCACTGCTTACTGGGCTTTTAGAAGACATTTAGGGGTAAATTAGAGCTAAGCAACAGCACAAAACACTGAGAGCTGAGAGAAAACTTTTTTTTTAAATACTTTGTCAGAGTTAGTATAAAGATGGCTGTAAACAAATTTTATGGGACTGTGGGAAACTTGGCCACCACATCCATGAGAAGTGGACATTTGGCTAAGTAAAATCATGCTGGACCACAGATGTTGCCAAACCAGAGAGTGACAAACTAGAAAGATTCTGCCTATATCAGTTAGGTGACTTTATACCCTTACCTCACTAGGGCACATAGATCCTGAATCAGTGTTGAAATTCATCCCTGGCTGAAACTTGGATTATTACTACTAATTCAAAACACAATTAGGTAACATAAGCTGCAGTCTCCTTGAGTTTGGACATACCTACACTTCCCTTCCAAGGCCTTCTGTCCTACCTTCTGTTTTCTCTGCAGACAGATAGTCCTTCCTCCTTATCTTGTGTATAACATTAAGAAGCAGTGCCTGTGCTATTCAAGGGACTTTAAGTTAGTAGTGGATGTTTTTCTGCATGATATACTATATTAGGAACAGGAATTAATTCATGGAAATTCTATGACCTGTGTTATGCAGGAGGTCAGGCTAGATTGGGGTGGGCAAACTATGGCCCGTAGGCTGTATCTCTGGCCCAACAGCCATTTTAATCCAGTCCTGAAGCTCTGGCTGGGGAGTGGGGTTGAGGGTTTACCCTGCTCCCTGTAGCTCCCAGAAGCAGTGGATATTTCCCTGCTCTAGCTCCTAAGAACCACAGCCAATGGGAACTTCAGCGGGGGTACCTGTGGACAGGATATTATGTAGAACTGCCTTCCAATGCCTTAGCAGCATGTTACCCTCCCCCCCCAGACAACTTTGCAGTTTTCCAGGAACTGCTTGAGATAAGCACGACCCAAAGCTTGTGCCCTAAGGGGTCCCAACTACAACCTCCTGCTCCAGCCCTGATCCTCCTCTTGCCCTCCAAACCCTTTGATCCCAACCCAGAGACCCATCTTGTATCCCAAACCTGTCATTCTGCCCACCCAGTGCCTACACCCCCAGTCAGAACCCTCATCCCCCCTGCCCAGCTTGGAGTTCCCTCCCACCTTCTGAACCCCTCCTCTCTAATCTCACCCCAAAGTCTGAACCACCAGCCAGAGTCCGTCCCCTCTCCTGAACCCCACCCCCAATTTTGTGAGCATTCATGGCCCGCCAAACAATTTCTATACCCTAATGTGGCTTTCGGGGCAAAAGGTTTGTCCTTCCCTGGCCTAGGTCATCAGTGGTCCTTTCTGGCCTTGGCATCTCTGAATCCAACACCATCAAGGGTTTGTTTTTTTAAATACTTTGTCAGAGTTAGTATAAAGATATTTACTCTATAATACGATAAATGGTTAAATGGAGTTACGGTGTTTATATTGCTGTAGATAGCTCACTGTTGTAATGATTACTATTTTCATCGGCTATTTTATTTGGCAAGGATTTGTAATAATAGAAGTTAAAACATTTCAGAACAAAGCCTGTGGATTTGTTCACTATTTATTTATTTTGGAAGATTTAATAGATTTACAAGTAACACGTGAGGTTAGTGAAATTAAAGGAAATTTAAGCTACCCCATATTTTTCTCACTCTTTCAATTTGCTTATACTCGGTGCACAATCAAGTTAGTAGGGCTCTTTTTCTTGATCAACCCATTAGTAGAAGCTGGAACCTGAAGAAAAAAGCTTTGAAGTTGGTCTGAATCACCGTTGTGTATTATCCACATGAAAAACTACAATAGAATGTGAATGAACAAAGCTGTATTTGTTGAGACATGTAATACATTTGGAGTGCTGAGACAATTCATCTCACCTGCTTAACGATGAGAAGACCATTTATTTAGTTAATTTTCACCACATGGTTTTGATGTCACTAGATGGGAAATATAATCTATAGCACTGTAAAATGTTGAAAATAGGGAATTTTTCACCTAGAGCCGCTGGCTTGAAAAGAAGTATTTTTTAGTTACCTTAAACAACTTAAAATGCACATTTTATGTATAATTCGTATGTATATGATTAGTTGTCAGGATTGCAACAGCAACAGACTGCAGAAGCCCCGCATAGCTGGGGAGGACTGGGCGGGCTGGCAGCAGCAGCCCACATGTTGGCCTGGGGGCCGGGCTGGAGCAGTCCCACACTGGGATCCTGCGTTTAATCAATTCACCAGTTAAATGCTAGGTTTAACTGGTTAACTGATTAACTGGGATTTTACCTTCTGCTGACTGATCTATAGAGTTGTTCTGTCATGAGTTCTCCACCCTGTCAGTCAACTTCCCCTTTGAGGGTTGCTTTATGAGAAAAAGGCAGTAGGAGAAAGGGGTTGGGAGCTTGGTGGAATAAGAGGTGAAAGAAAACTCTGTATGACAAGTGTGAGGAACTATACACATATAAGCATATATATCTTTATCTTTTATTGGTTTGCTGTATTGTTTGGGTGAGGTCACTTATATAGTTCCAGGAATGTGGTTTTATAAATACTTACTTTTGCATTTCTCCTTGCATGCACAAAAATGTCATGTATGGCACCAATTAGCTTAGATATGAAAATCTCTCATTACTGCAGTTACTTTTGATGGCTGAATAAGTAGTTTTTGTTATTAATTTTCATCTTATTTCAGGCTAGTAGTTTACCTATTGCATTTTGATTACATTTCAGAACAGTCAAGCATCACGTATTGCAACTGACATCTGCATTAACAACCGTGCAAAAATTTTCCTCCCTCTTTATTCCCTGAAACAAACCAAAATGGAAAACTGATTAAAGGTGAGCCCTTTTTTTCAGTCTGATTTGTTTTCAGTCTGTCTCTGCATTTGTTCTTTCAGATGTTTGTCTATACCAATGCACATTTTAGGCAAGCAACCATAAAAATAAATTGACCCCAACTGGTTGCCTCCTTAATGAAAACTAATCTAAATCTGGTGACTTGCTGTCTTTCAGTTGGCAAAGTATCTGTATTAAGTCAAGATCCTCTATCTGTATATATCTAGGCTTGCAGACTATATATATTATTAACGTTGTTAGTTGTCTGTAAACATAATTGCATCTCAGTAAACTATTTTAATGGGACTTGCATGAACAGAAGAATATATTATATAAACTGAACTGTTTGGGTAAAACTCCAAAGGACTGCTTGTACTGTAACTGTGGAGCAAAATGACAGATTATGAGAGAAAGGATTGGTTTGGCCTGGAGGGAGGGGGTGGGAAGGGGCATGGAAATCAGAACAGAAAAAGAAGTACAGCATCTTGGAAGGAACATTGAATATTGCCTAAAGGAGTTCTGAGAGTGAAAAAACTGCTCTCTCCACAGCTTCCTTCCAGTGAAAGCTTTTTTTTTATTTTATTTTATTTTATTTTATTTTATTTTATTTTTAAGGACCTATGGATCTTATAAATATGTCAAAGATAAATAAGCTTCTAGAAACTCCACCCTATTGTGGGTAATTGGTATCAGGGTGAAATGTATCCCAGTTTGATTTACTCCATCAACCTATTTCTTCTGTTCTGTTATTTGTAAAGCTTATCCCCATCTTAAAAAATGGGCAATTGCTCTCCTTCAAAAATTAATATGCAATTTGATACTGCAATCATTTCAGGTGTTAGGCCAAAGAAAGCACTTTTTCACATTTTGTTCTTTCAAAAACATGATATTTTTACTTGTCATTTCTTATATGTTGGGAATAGCTATTTTAATTACCAGAATAATTTTCACTGAAGGTCTCACTTGTGAATATTTTGAATTTGATGCCTCCCTTTGGCTGTGGACCCTCATGCATAGCATGTCCTGCATGCCTCCCCAGTTGCATACCTGTTTGGTAGAAATGAAAGAATGACTTTACAATGCATATTACTCACTATACAGACCCAGATACATCCTATCTATAAATAAAATAGAGAATTTTTTCTCAGTGTTAATTTAATGGAAGCAATAAAAAATTTAATGGTATAGTGTCTAGATTTTAGCATTACTACACAACTGACCTGGCAAGCCATTTTTTAGAAGAGTTTCATTCTAGAACATTAGTTATGCTGCTATAAAAGTGTAGTTATTTTGTAAAATAACGCTAGGCACTTTCTTTCAGTGCACATCTGAAAAATCAAGGACATTCAGTTTTGTAGCATATTGTACCTGTAACCAATAGAACGTCACAATGAGATCAGTACCATGCTTATATTGGACCGTCTAATATTTTCCTTAGTCAGCTGAGCTCGATTTCTCAAATACTCTGCTTTACAGTCTTTGAAACATTTTTAGACCATTGATTTTCTTCCATCACATGGTTATTAGGTTTAATATACTATCCGTTGATTGCAAAAGGCATATTAGTTCGGTCTGGCAGGTGTGGTCCAGTAGGACCACAGATATTGTTGAATCAAAAGAGAGCCCCGGCACCCTGGAGTGCGAACTGGCCCTGGCCCTGGACACCAACGAGCAGTGTTCCCCCTAAGCTGCGTGGCACCACCGCTTCACCAGTGATTCATCAGCCCAACCCAGTCAGAGGCTCAGGGCTCCATGCACAGAGCTGACTGACTGGGCAGGGCTGCTGAATCACCTGTGAAGCTGTGCTGCAGCTCATCTTAGAGGGAACGCTGCCAGTAAGCAGTAATTCCCTGGAGGAGCACAGCAGAAGCGGGGCAGCTGGCAAGCCTCATTGCAGGAGGAATAATGGTAGTTCGAATTAGGAGCTTTAATTCGAACTACCTAGTCCGTGCCGTGTGTAGCTGCGGGCAGGTAGTTCAAACCACGGGCATTTAAAAATGATGCCCACCCGGGAACATGCAAATGAAGCCCAGGATATTTAAATCCTGGGCTTCATTTGCAAGTTCGAATGCCTACATTAGTCACCCTAGTTCGAACTAGGGTGGCAGTGTAGACATACCCAGTGGACCCCAGCCAAGAGGCAAGAGGGAGGAGAAGATGTAGTCCTTGGAAGGGCCAGAAGGATGGCCCCTCATGATGGGGAAGATGAAGATAATGAGAAAGATAATGGGCTAACACCTAAGATTGTTCTAGAAGGAATGATGTAAGTATATGGTAAGGAAATATGGATGTACGTTCCCTGTCTCATGAAATTGAGGTATTTGTGACAGTGCTAACAGTATTCATAAACTGTAAATATACAAGAGTTTCTATATTGTGAGTGTTGTAACCGTGCGCATTAGGGTTCCCGATCTTAATATAATTGAATATTGGGCCTGATCCTGGGGCAAAGAACTGTCAACCCTAAAGGCGGGTCATTAGTATTTAAACATAATCTTAGATCAGGCTACAGTGCATTTGATGGAAATAAAAATATCAGTTCTGTTGGCAATATTTATGAAATTGCCATGCCATATCCTTGAATATTGAATTGTCCTTTGTGTGTGTATATATCTCAAAGGAAGTACTGTTGCTGGTTAGGATTTAGAATCAGAATACCATAGTCCTTTGCTTGGCTGAGCCAGTGACTTTTGTCAGTTCAACTGCCTGTGCCTGAGTTTTACCCTTCTGTAAAAGAGGTATAATGCATATTTGAAGGGATAGTGAGAGTTTATGCTTATAAATGGCTTTGACTTTCCCCAGTGAAAAGTGTGCCATAAAAGAGCAAGACATTGTTCAGTAATAACTTTAATTGCTTATATATATTTGGCATCAACTGTAGTGCAAACTGAAATCTAAAAAGTCTTGCTGTGTGTTTGTGTGCCTGTATTACAAATAGCATTGCCCAACATTTAACACTTACTCCTGTGGGAATTCTGCACCACTACACATGTGTATAATTAATTAGCCTTGCATATTTTAATTGTTTTGTTTAGAAACAAAGCTTCTGCAGGAGAGCTGCTGCAGTTCTCCCTTTTGTCCACCAGAGAGCACTGTGGCACTAGAACAGAGCATGAGCTCCTGTCTCACTAGGGAAGAGAGGGAGGCTGCCTTCTGCATAGTGCCTGTTGGGCCAAGTCAGGAAATAGGGCATATGGGGAAACAGGCAGTGTGGAGCTGCTGGGGAGCGGGGGATCAGACAGGGCCTCATAAGGGCTAATTAGGAAGGCTGCACTGGGTCAGGGGCTGAATGTTAGTAGAGATCCAGGATCACAGGTGGGAGGGAGGTGCAGGTCACATGTAGATGGGAGGAGGGTGCAAGTCCATACTGAAACGGAAGAGGCTGAATGGGGGCACAGAAATATGGTGGCAGGGGGAGCAGGTGCAGGGCCACATAGGGATGGGAGCAGTGGTTTTTGAGTGGGGGTGCAGGGCCACAAGCATAAAGGGCCAGGTGTGCCTGACTGAATGGGAGAGGCTAGGGATCAGCCAGGCTCTGCATGGGGCAAGCTCCCAAACAGTACCTCCCAGCAGGCCCCTTAAAAAAAACCTGTTCCATGCTTTTCCCGCCCATACCCAATAACCCTCCCAGCTCACTCACAGGCTTCTTCCCAGCAATTACTTCTCTTTCTCTCAGCTCCTCCAGTACCCCTGACTCTCTCCCAAACCCTTGGACTGCTTCTGAGGGTGTGGGAAGTACAGCTCTGTATTGTAGTTTACATGAATTATTTTAACTCAGAGTTCTGTAATAGTTATGCCTAGTAAGGAAACTATTTGTAAAAAAAAATTAATTTTTGTTGTTGTCTGTAATGTTGCTGACAGATACTTTGAGTAAGTGGTTTGAAGGGGTGGGTTGGCACTAGGTTGTGGAGCAGGATGGGGAAGAACAGTGCTGGAGAGATGTGCTGGAATGTGAGACGGGGCTGAGGATAGGGACTGAGATGAGAAGATGGGAGACTAGAACAAAGGCAGACTGGGAAATCCTGAGATGGAAGCCACAGAAATACACTCCTCTCAGTATCTGGAATCATATAAAGGATTCCAGAGTCTCAGAATCCCTCTGCTGTCAGCCAACAGCAGTGAAATCCACTGCCAAAATATATGCCTCATCTTCTTGAGGCTGATTCACATAGAGAAGGACAACCTACTACTGTTGTCAGTTAATTAGAGTGGCAGAGGTCTTTATGGTATATGTAATGTTCCAACACTATTGATAATGTGTATCATCCCTATTATATCAATGTGATGACACGTGTTGGATTGGGGGGGGGTGATTTGCTTTTCTAAAGATCTAGAAAATTACACTCAAACAAGTACATTAGAACAACATTGTTTGCAATGTCAAGAATTCCAACATTTGGAAATGCCCAAATTAAGGTTTCCCGTCAACCTTATTTGGTCCTGTGTTCATTATAATGCAGTTTTAGATTATCACAATATACTTTTCCACTGGGCCTCTCAGAATTATTGAGTGGAGTAAGTTTCCTCTTTAATGATTGATTTAGAGGGTTACCCACAAATCAGCTTTTTAGAGCATATCACAAATCAGTTCTTCATGGAACTCTGGAAGTTCTGAGAGAGTAGAGCACTGGCAAATGAGAGACCCGGAGGGGGGAAGGTTGGCTGCCGGTGGTTACACCCACTTTTTTTTCCCTGTATGTGTTCCAACCCCAAAGCACCCACAGAGTCCACACCTATGGGGAGCAGACCCTGAGAATCTGTGACACTTGAGAAAAGCACTACAACTTTGTATAATGAAAGAACGATAAGAGAGATCTTTGGGCTCACTGCTTTCTAATGAGGAAAAAACTAATATGCTCCCGCCAAGACCACATCCCGTCATGTGTAGACAGCTCCTTTTTGCACAAAAGCCTCTTGTACAAAAATGGAACCTCATTAATTATGCAAATGAGGTGTGGCGATATTCCACGCTTCACCTCATTTGCATCTTTTTTGCACAAAAC